TAGAGAGGTCAACGACCAAACCCAAACGTCAGGATTTTCCACAGGATAAAGCGATGTTTTTGTCTGCGTTTTTACTGATTTATCTCCATTGTTTAGTCATTGGATACAGGAAGAATTGCCATGTTTCCAAATCATACAAAAATTCAGTGACAGTCCTGTTTAATCGCTGTCCGATTTCAACAAATGTTTCAACACAATTAATGCTTTTATTGTCCTCTGTTCCATCCGAAAGTAAGGCGGGATTTGGATACACCAGCAAACAATTAAACACGACAAAAGATGAATCATGATTTCTAACTTGAGCCTTCTAAAGTAGCCCCTCTTTCCCGAGTGTTGATGCAGTGCACTGCTGGCGGCGAGCTCCACTCTCCGTCATGACAGCTGGATGAAGAGTGTTTACTAGGAAGAACTTACACATCTTGTGTCTGTAAAAGTCCTTTCACCACAGCTTCAACTTCAAAGGTTTGTCTAATGAAGAGAATTATCCCAGATAAATTCTCAACTTGTATTTTTTCCGTCAGAGCTTACAGTTACATGGATGTAAATTCGCCAAGAATCTAAGTACGGGGTGTTTGGGAGGGTTGAGAGATTTATATTTGCTTTACACGAAAACACAGCTGTGCAAAATGCAGAATTGAGATGAATTTCCGACCCAGTTGAACATGAGATTATTTCTAAGTTGATTACGAGTGATGCAAGTGTAGGGGGCAAGATTTAGTTAGAGCTGTTACGTCTGTCTGTGGTACACACATGACTTTGTCTGATAAGGGACTTGCACAACATTAAGTCGAAGCTACATGCCAAGTTTAACCTTTAGGTGACTGGCAAATTAAATTTCGTATGTGTCTGACATGCTTGTGTAATGTGGTTTAATCCTAGGATCTGGACTGCCAGAATGCATCGCGTAGTACTTGGGGCAGACGTGAACGAGATGAGCCCAGAGTAGCAGACGATCCATGTTTCTCTTTGTACCTATTATGCCATATTAAAAGTCGCCTTATGGTATACAGGCGCACACCAAACTGTGTTGACAAACCCACATCCTGCAACAGTCAGATCTCCCCGGGTTCAAATTGGGGCTCAAATCCTTGACAGCGAGTTCATGGTTTCCGGGTTTGCCAGCGCTATTCCCGTACTGATTGTTTTCAGGAAAGTGGAACCGTATATGACCTAGATCCTGCAAGGTTTTCCTCCATCTAGATAACACCAGGGTTAAATACATCTCGCTCAAATTCAAACAAGGACGATGGGAGGAGCCATTGGAGGTGGTTCAGTCGTCATCCCAAAGTCTCGGGTTCGAATCCCCATGTGGGTCCAGTGTGTGAAACCAGTTTTTGGTGTCCCCGCCGTGATATGGCTGGATTCGCACACACTCCAAATAAGACTAGGTGATTATAAAATATATTTTGACTCTGATGAAGAACTGGTCACCTGGACCTTCGCTCAGAGATGACTCTAATGGATCGGATGCTCGCTGGCGTGGTAGATTGTGTGTTATGGTTTGACTGGTTCAGTAAAGATTATTTACTGCTGACTGCGGCGTCAAACAACATTCGCCCCCGCATATGTATTTCCCTATGTAGCCATAGATATCGTGTCAGTTTTGAACTAAGTGAATGAGTTTAGTTTTAAGCCGCTTTTAGCAATATTCCAGCAATATCACGGCGGGGACAGCAGAAATGAGCTTCACACATTGTCCCCATCTGGGGAATCGAACCCGGGTCTTCAGCGTGACGAGCGAACACTTTAACTACTAGGTTACCCCACCGCCCCTTTGAACTAAGGAATAAAGGGAGCGGTAAATGCTGGGTAAATGACTAATTACATACTCAATCATTTAGTCAGCAGGCTAGCCTTGCATAAGTCCTTAAGGTAAAAATTAATAGTTTAAGATACAGACGAACTGCGAGGTATATGATCATTTGAAAGGACGTTAATGTTGACTCAAAACTGATACAAACAATATTGTCACACGAACCTGTGTAAACATTTAGACTTTTGAAGATCTGTTCCCATTTTCTTCAGCAGAAAATACTTATGTTTAGCTGCAGTTTGCCAGAATCCTAGCGACCGGCTATAGCAATTTGCCTCTACAGGCGAGATACAGGGACAGTCTCCTTTAGTTCTGTGTGCTATTGATTCTGATTACCATGCAACACCATTAATATCCGAAGGGATCTAACCAAGTCTTATAAAGTACATTTTATTATTGTGCATGGACAACAATGTCACATGTAGGGATGTTGAAGGGATGACTATGGTGTGTAAGGCAATGCTGTACCTCTTTCAAATCTTTGTTTTCCCGCAGATGTATCTTGTATTACACACGCCATGCCATTGATAGAAATTGTTTAAAATCTCCCTCACTCGCTCAGAGAGTGATATTGCTGTGGTATTGCTGTGATATTGCTGTGATATTGCTGTGGTATTGTTGTGATATTGCTGTGGTATTGCTGTGGTTTCCTAGATCCTGCAAGGTTTTCCTCCATCTAGATAACACCAGGGTTAAATACATCTCGCTCAAATTCAAACAAGGACGATGGGAGGAGCCATTGGAGGTGGTTCAGTCGTCATCCCAAAGTCTCGGGTTCGAATCCCCATGTGGGTCCAGTGTGTGAAACCAGTTTTTGGTGTCCCCGCCGTGATATGGCTGGATTCGCACACACTCCAAATAAGACTAGGTGATTATAAAATATATTTTGACTCTGATGAAGAACTGGTCACCTGGACCTTCGCTCAGAGATGACTCTAATGGATCGGATGCTCGCTGGCGTGGTAGATTGTGTGTTATGGTTTGCCTGGTTCATTAAATACTATTTACTGCTGACTGCGGCGTCAAACAACATGCGCCCCCGCATATGTATTTCCCTATGTAGCCATAGATATCGTGTCAGTTTTGAACTAAGTGAATGAGTTTAGTTTTACGCCGCTTTTAGCAATATTCCAGCAATATCACGGCGGGGGACAGCAGAAATGAGCTTCACACATTGTCCCCATCTGGGGAATCGAACCCGGGTCTTCAGCGTGACGAGCGAACACTTTAACTACTAGGTTACCCCACCGCCCCTTTGAACTAAGGAATAAAGGGAGCGGTAAATGCTGGGTAAATGACTAATTACATACTCAATCATTTAGTCAGCAGGCTAGCCTTGCATAAGTCCTTAAGGTAAAAATTAATAGTTTAAGATACAGACGAACTGCGAGGTATATGATCATTTGAAAGGACGTTAATGTTGACTCAAAACTGATACAAACAATATTGTCACACGAACCTGTGTAAACATTTAGACTTTGAAGATCTGTTCCAATTTTCTTCAGCAGAAAATACTTATGTTTACAGCTGCAGTTTGCCAGAATCCTAGCGACCGGCTATAGCAATTTGCCTCTACAGGCGAGATACAGGGACAGTCTCCTTTAGTTCTGTGTGCTATTGATTCTGATTACCATGCAACACCATTAATATCCGAAGGGATCTAACCAAGTCTTATAAAGTACATTTTATTATTGTGCATGGACAACAATGTCACATGTAGGGATGTTGAAGGGATGACTATGGTGTGTAAGGCAATGCTGTACCTCTTTCAAATCTTTGTTTTCCCGCAGATGTATCTTGTATTACACACGCCATGCCATTGATAGAAATTGTTTAAAATCTCCCTCACTCGCTCAGAGAGTGATATTGCTGTGGTATTGCTGTGATATTGCTGTGGTATTGTTGTGATATTGCTGTGGTATTGCTGTGATATTGCTGTGGTATTGCTGTGGTATTGCTGTGGTATTGCTGGCTGTGGTATCGCTGTGGTATTGTTGTGATATTGCTGTGGTATTGCTGTGATATTGCTGTGGTATTGCTGTGATATTGCTGTGGTATTGCTGTGATATTGCTGTGGTATTGATGTGCAAGTGTAAGAAGCAGCTTGAAACCTCTCCAAGTCAGTCAGAGAGTAACGCTTCTCAAACTGATAAATCTACAATACTGTTTAAGGGGCATATATATTCACTAACTCACAAAACACTGCGGAAATGTACCATGAATATAAGTTAAATGTGTCCCTATTCTTTGCCATCTGTGAGTAGTATCTAAGAACATATTACTATTGGGATTTCCCCCACTTTAGAAGACACGCTGTGTTCAAAGATATCCAACTCACTCACTCGCAAACGACAAACTCACAAAAGATGACGATAACTCACCCACCGGGTACCCATCCAACCCAACTAAAGTGCTAATTATAAATGAATTCAGACAACGATAGAGTCAACCCCCGTCCATCATCGAGCTACGTTGTGTGACAGCTGTGATAGGAATGTACTTTAGTTTGTTAAGCCAAAAGATGGGACTGCACTTCAATAAATAAGTCTTAATTAAGTTCATCAGTATGTATAATAACTACATCAATCCCGACCGTGATTCACAACGTGGCATGGGTAATCTGTTACTCTGTGTATTGTATTTCAAATCGATATGATAATTGCTCGTTTAATGAGCTATGGACTTTGCTAACAGCATGGTGTAGGGGCCATATTGTGTTCTGAGCTGTGCTCAACTCGCTGTTGACCTAACGGGAACGAAGTATCTGTAATTTACAGCCCAAAGCCAAATAAGTCCCCGAGGTTTGTACAGGAGCCGCGAGTATCATTAATCACAGGAGTCGTAAATCCTGTTCTCATCCAGTCACCAAGCTGCTTGTACTCTATCGAGATAAATTTACAGTAAAATATATCACCGTAATTGATAAAGATTAAATTGGATATGAAAGAGGCATTTCCGACTTGACCAAAGAGCCCTTACAAATTTATTTCAACTTCATAAGGCCTCTTATAATGACAGCTCGGCAGTAAATGCATCACAGCGAGATATGGACGACATACAGTCATCTCCCCAGTTGTCACAAGTACGGGTAGATTGCCAATAAAACCCATAAAACTCATACAGGCTGATAAATTGCGGGTTTCCATATCATTAAAAACCACTAGGTTTTAATTTGAGGTTTTTATTATTGTCATTTGTCAAAGTTTGCCCATACAAACCTCATTTATCAGCGCTAGGGGTCAGGGTGGAAACAACACTGTGTCACAAAAACAGCGCCCGGCTGTACTTCAAAGTCGTGGACAAATCTCCCACCTTGTTGTCTGATCTCTGATCACCCAGGAGCAGATAACGCCGACAGGTACATAGCATACCTGGATATAAATTATCACAGAGTTAACAAGCAACACACCACAGTAGACAGGTAACATCAAGGTAATTTAATACCTAAGGTAAAAGGTCACGCGGGGAGTCAGAAACACATGGGCGTGAATTACATCGTGAGAGAAGAACATTCAGCGCAGATCTCAAAATTGTTTCTCGATTAAAAACATGGAGAAAATGGTGTATGCATTAAATTTGTAAAATATCAAGCACAATTTGTAAATACGGAAACTTTTATCTTTTAACCCTAACGGAAGTATATCAACATCCACAAGAGACAAGTGTCTGTTAAAAGGGTATCAAGGTTGGATTTACCCGTTAAAACACAACCTCTGAATCCTTAAATCAGTTCAGTCTGGAAATTAAGGTTTTCGTTTTTTTAGTCTCTGAAATAATCTTTTCAATTTTTCTAATTAACCTGGGAGGTTTCAAATTTTAAACAAAACACTCTGGTTAAACCGTCAAGAACATATTAAAAGTGGACGTTGATTACGGCGAATGTAGACAGGGTAGTTGTTTTATATTTTCACTGAATCTAACCATTGCACATAGTTAAGGACACACGCGCGCACGCACGTACGCACGCACGCACGCACGCACGCACGCACGCACGCACGCGCGCGCACACACACACACACACACCCTACCTGACTAACTTAAGTAAGCATCACCGAATAAGGCTTCAGTGAAGTTCCCAATGGTTACCCCCCAGCAGTAACATCACCCCAGCACAGCATGACCCACCAGACACCCCCACATACCATCTTGTTCAACACAACACACCAAACGTGACGTGCCCACTACAAAGTGACAACCCGGCTGTATTTGTTTTTTTTGTGTCACCGATCAGATAACAGACCATTCTTTGATCTCAGGTTATAATTCACCCGGAGGCAGTCTATGTTTTCTCAGATCTCTATACCTGTACATGTAACTGTATATGTCAACGTTTATATTGCAGAAAGGCCACAAGCCGACGGTGCTAATCTGTATGGATAGAAATAACGATGGCTGGAATAATGTTGCATTTTTTATTTCAAATGTCTTATCAATACGTTGGCTGAAATATATATGAAGTTAAGGACATTAAAACATTGATATATACAGGTGATATCATTTCATTAAACCAAATGATACTTAGAGTTTTGTACATAAATATGATTGTGTATAAACTGTATACATATATAATATCTATATACCTATATATCTATATATACAGAGAGAGAGAGAGAGAGAGAGAGAGAGAGAGAGAGAGAGAGAGAGAGAGAGAGAGAGAGAGAGAGAGAGAGAGAGAGAGAGAGAGAGAGAGAGGGTGAGGGGAGGGAGTGTACAGTATACAGCTTACACCATGACCAACGTTCACATCATACAGATCACGACTCACGGTGTATCAGTATAGTGGACCAACTGCTGGTGACTGTTACTACTGGTGTATCAGTTTAGTGGACCAGCTGCTGGTGACTGTGACTATTGGTGTATCAGTATAGTGGACCAACTGCTGGTGACTGTTACTACTGGTGTATCAGTATAGTGGACCAACTGCTGGTGACTGTTACTACTGGTGTATCAGTATAGTGGACCAACTGCTGGTGACTGTGACTATTGGTGTATCAGTATAGTGGACCAACAGCTGGTGACTGTGACTACTGGTGTATCAGTATAGTGGACCAACTGCTGGTGACTGTGACTATTGGTGTATCAGTTTAGTGGACCAACTGCTGGTGACTGTGACTATTGGTGTATCAGTTTAGTGGACCAGCTGCTGGTGACTGTTACTACTGGTGTATCAGTATAGTGGACCAACTGCTGGTGACTGTGACTATTGGTGTATCAGTTTAGTGGACCAACTGCTGGTGACTGTTACTACTGGTGTATCAGTATAGTGGACCAACTGCTGGTGACCATGACTACTGCTGGTGTATCAGTGTATCAGCATAGTGGACCAACTGCTGGTGACTGTGACTATTGGTGTATCAGTATAGTGGACCAACTGCTGGTGACTGTGACTACTGGTGTATCAGTATAGTGGACCAACTGCTGGTGACTGTGACTATTGGTGTATCAGTATAGTGGACCAACTGCTGGTGACTGTGACTACTGGTGTATCAGTATAGTGGACCAACTGCTGGTGACTGTGACTATTGGTGCCCTTCGCCGTACCCTTTACACCGTATACATGTCGACATGCAGCATATTGATTTTAAACAGTGATAATATTTAAAACTGACAGGATGAAATATTTTATATCTTTAAACTGTTTCCTTGATAAACCTTCCTTGTGATTAATGACAATAAAAGATTGAATGTCTGACTGCGGTGTCAGTTTATGTCACTTACAAAGATTAGACTTGAGTCTTCTCCAGGTCTAAGCTTGAGTATACATCATGCCTTTAATGTCAACCATGATATATTACGTTCAACCTGGTGTCTCATAAATATGTCATAGCGTGTTAATCATTCAATTTGACAATTTGTCATTCAATGACATTTCCAAAAGGCATGGTGTCACCTTTTAACGTTGTTAAAAGGAAGATACGACAGAAATGGTAAAGGTCAACTGAGAGTGGAAAACCTCTTTTTGATGTACCTGTAATACAAATAAATGTTGCGCGTTGAAAGTCACAAGTTCAGACATGCTGTCGAGTCATCATCCTGATGCACTTGGTTTAGGTACACTGTGTTTATTTGTAATTTTACGTCATTGCCAGCAATATTCAAGCTATAGTGCAGACGTTTGTAGTGCGGAACTCGACCCGGACACCAGTGGTGGATAATTTTTTTACGCCCAACGAGATCCCATTTACCTGATTTAGATATTATATAATATTATATTATATAAATTTATATACATTACTATCTGTTCAAAATCTTGCATAGAACCTGATAGATCTTATTTGTACTGCGGTCACCGGATGTGGACTCATTCTCAGCTCCCTATAGTATACAACCACAGCAGCTTGCAGGCTAAACAGTCATCTCCTACTGGTTACCCACTTTCTTATAGCTCAATGTCACTTGCCTAACACGTAACCACATGTATTACACGTGTTTCAGCGCTGGACAGGACCTTAGATGCCTCAAAAACTCAGGATCAACATCTCTGTCACCGAGGTGTCTTAAATTACTTTGAACACAGAACCTCGTGCACAGGACCTCCTCCTAACCTGACCTCGTGCACAGGACCTCCTTCTAACCTGACCACGTGCACAGGACCTCCTCCTAACCTGACCTCGTGCACAGGACCTCCTTCTAACAGGACATCTTACTCAGTCACCACATGCCTCTTTCGATAAGTATGCTGAGGGATATAGAAACATAGGAGGGACTCGCGATTGAGGGAAAGTGATCTGACCCAGGAAAATCCCTATATATCAGCTGACGTTGTCGGAAGACGGGACTCGTTAGGCCGCATTTGGAAGAGTGGCACGTGTCGGTGAAACACGACTGGACTAGTGTGGACAAATATGATAGATCCCCTAGAATCTATTCCTCTCCCATGTCGAACACTGCCCTACACATCCATTCGCCATGTAACGTTCGTGGAGCAGATAAGGAGAGCAAGGAACACGATTTTACTTTCAGATTGGGCATTAGCGTTGAGTGGGAGCTGACAACCACCTGGTCCTTGTCAAGGGAGGTCCACGCCAGTCTGAGGCTGGACTTCATCTCTCGCCAGTATTTATGAGGCGGGAGTCTCCAAGCAGACGACACGACCAGAAACATCAGAATGACCAACGCTCGTATGGATCAGATGTCAACTTCCGGCTTGTTTATGCGTCGGATTGTCACATCTACAAGCTGTTTATCGCATAAATTTATTGCCTATTGTCTTAATGTTTGTCTGTCTTTCCGTTGTATAATGGACTTAATGTAGTTTGAGGGTTATCATCTGGTGGCGAGCGAATCACCAGGCTCGTCTAGGGAGGTCTTCGCCGCCATCACTCTTCCAGTAATCGCTAGGACACGGGATCTTATAGACATGTGGGGTAATTCTCTTTTCAAATTAACTGCTGATTGAGACAAATTGTTTTCTCTTCTGCTATTCGTCAATTTGTTCAGCCATGTTTAGAAACACGATATCTGGCGGTCGTCTGCCGGTTTGTTGGCTCCGGGATGAGCGTGACAAACTGTCCAAATTGAGGAACCGTGTACTTGAGCCTTCTCGGCCAGGCGACAGGAACTGGCAGTGGGAACTATCTTGTTTTCTGATGATTAGAAGCAAATTGCTAGAGAATCTGGTGGCATTGATTTTCTGCAGAGCCTGGGAGCCGTATTTGTAGGCGTGTTCTCAGAGCAAGGGCTTCCGCAAACATGTATATAAACTTTGTAGCATCTTGATGGAAGCATAATTGAACAAGACAGCGCTCATTAAATAATTTGTTCGCCTGACTGACTTTGTAATTCTGTGTTAACAACGGGTTCAAGACTTTGATGTTGATCGCATACGTTTGTAACTACGGACAATCAATAACAGGTCGATATCGTGATTCACAAAGTAACAACTTTCTCAATGCCGGTCAACATGTACACTGACCTGACCCTCGGAGGGGGGTCAAGTTTTAGTTCTATCAGCAAGAAAGACGCAGTAGCCCAAGACATAGCAAATCCCAAAGGATTTCTTCTATTCCAGCAATATCACATCAGGTTTGCCTGTTTGTGTCTTTATTTGCGTGTTGTTTAACTCAATACACAGCAGCATATCAGCTATATGACGACGCAGCACCAGTACATACCTTCAGTATAACAACATTTATGATAACTCATTAAAGGCCAAGTCTGTGGCCTCCTCTGATGACCACCACAGGTTGTTGTGGTGGTGTGTGTGTGTGTGTGTGTGTGTGTGTGTGTGTGCGTGCGTGCGTGCGTGCGTGAGTGTGTGTGTGTGTGTGTGTGTGTGTGTGTTGTGTTTGTCTCTTATGACCTGGCATCCTGACGTGTGTATCACATCGGACTTCACACATGGTCTCTGTATGGGGAATCGAACCTTGTT